ATCTTAATCCATAGACATCAAAATATCTTTAAAAATTTTAAAAATCTTATTTTAGATCATGTTAATCTATTATGTTGAATCATAATCAATCATTTTTAAAAATTCTATAAATTCATATATAATTAATATATTAAAATAATTAATTAGTCATTTATGATAATTAATTATTTTTAGAAGTAATTAATTATGTTACTTAATTTTTAAAGCATTTTATTTTTTACAAATAATCAATTAAAATAGGAATAATCAATTCAATTGTTTATACAGTATTTTCAAAACTATTGATATAATAGATTGTGGCTAATATATAATAATTTATTAGAATAATAAAAAAAAAACTTTTATGTAAAACACAAGGTGAAAAAACATTCAAATTATTTTTACTATAAAATAAGAAATTATATTCTAAAGATAATGTAAAGATTAATTATGATTGATTTGGCAATATTCTCAACACTAACATTTGTTTAATGTTTATACCTTCCACAGCTCATGATGTGACAGCATAAAGTATTGGTAACCAGTTATTACCACAGACAAAGTCTTAAAACATGTAATATATATAGCTATCTTCATCTTTTGCAGGTTTAGAAAAACCAATCCTTTTTATTCCAAGTTCTCTCTATCTGTCTCTACTATGGTGGAGATTATTATTATTAATTACTATCTTTCTTATATTTGAATTAGTCCACAATGTGGCATGTGTTGATATGCCTACTTGCCTTTGTCAAAAGAGATAAGTTAGGTTTAGAACATTGCATTTCTCTATAAAATAACATTTTGATATTCTGGTACACATAATATTCTAGCTAGGTAAGATTTTGTTCTCCTTATTAAATATTATATCAATACCCTTCTGTCAATTTGTGTGGAATTTCTCACAGGTTGACTTAAGAACACACATAATTGAAACAAATGTTTGAATTAATTATAAAATTGTACCGCAAACTTGACCATGCATGTAGATAGTGTAAAAGGGTCATCAATGTTCACTGAATTATATACTTATCTGTCTTTTCATAGGGAAACCCTACATCAAAACTAAAGCATCTACTAATTAAAATTTACGAAAGCATCTACCTTGGATTCTGTTGAGTTACGACACAATACAAGGAACCAAAATCATGTCACTGTTTCTCTCTCACAAATGGTGAATAGGATTTAGGGTTGAGGGTTTGAAATACGATACACAATTTCTTTTTGGAACGTAATTACTTTTAATAGTGAGACGTGCGTAGAAAAGTTTTAGTTTTTTTTTTTAATTATCGACATTTAGACAAAAGATTGCATGGATTTATTAACAACAATTTAAAAATGATTAGATTAATTCAAAATAATTTAGATTTGAAATTAAATAGTATTTTAAGCATTCTTACGAGCAAATCATCTTCCAATTAATGCTTAAATAGTTTCCTTTTTTTTTTTATATACAAAACTTTATCCAGTGATGAAAATGAAGTTACATAATCAATTAATAAAATAAAAACGTGATAGTCTAGATAACCTGAACACGAATACCGTAGAAGAAGAATAAAAGCAAGATCAAAATCGTATGACATGACATATTCAACCTAATGTGCATATACAGGATAAACACGAACGATGAAAGCCAAAACTGGAGTTGGAAGAATTTGCACATAAATCCAAACAATGACACATGATATTTGACCTTACCCTTAACAATCACAATTATCATGTTTGTGAATAAAATTCTGGCTTTCAAACTCAAGAAATATATACACATTTAACAATTTGGTAGAGCTTAACAAAAATTGCAATTAAAAACGTAGGGATAACATTAGCCCCTCAAAGAATTAATTAAAGTAGAAAAAATTGCAGACAAAATTGATTACATATTGGTCTGGAAAACAACCCTTGGTTGAATCTATTAATTCCCATATACACGAAACACATGCAAGTGAGAATCACATGTTTTTCTACCCAAAGCCAAAATAAAGGTCACGGATTGGTTTGAGTGAGGGTAATGTCTTTATTAGTCAAAACATGTGACATTTAGGGATAGGGTCAAAGGAATTTTGAAGCTCAAGAGAAGAAGAAAAAAAAGAGTTTTGTTGCATCCAGTTATGTGAGTAGCTGTAAGAAGAGTGCTATGGTTAGGTATGTCCTGAAAAGGTTAAAAATCGACTCCATGCATGAACTCTTATAAAAAAATCACATTTCTTAACCATAAATGGAAACTCCACTACCTTGGGTTCTTCAATTTGGTGTTTCTATCTTAAGCTGCATGCCTAAAACCAATTAAAACTTTGCACCAATCGTACTAATGGACTGATAATGTGATGCATGCGTATGCATGTGCTGCACAGCTCTGTGATGAATGAACAAACCTCAATTTCCTCCAGGGTAGGACAACCTTAGTTTACCTATATGTCTTCTTCCCACGCGTTCTTAATGCAATATTTACAATCTCTTATAATATAATATGAAAAGTAGTTTTTTAATATATTATTACTCTAATAATAATAATAATATATCACAAAACAAAGTGATAAAATGAATTTAATATTTTTTTCATAAAGATTTTTTTTCTGGTTTATTGAATAATATCATATTCATCATATTACCGGAGTATCTACTATCTTTTTAAATATTTTTTATTTATTTTAAGTCACATTTTTCTTATTCATAATCAATAAATAATAAAAATATAACAAAATGAGATAATATAATTTTTTTATTTAATATATTTAATAAATTATTTTAATATTGATAAAAAGAATTATTAATATATAAATAGATATATTAATAATTATTAAATTTTTAAAAATAAAATTATACATATACATAAAAATTACAAAATTCAAATATAAGATTTGTTCTTTGGTCAAATAATGTGGTCTATCGTACATGTCGCGAGCCCTCTTTAGATTTTCAGCGTGGATCTGATACTCCTACTTTTGGTAGGAAGAACAATCTATTTCAAACTTCAAATGGAAATAAAATATTCAAAGATTACACGGCTTAAAATTAAATTCCTAATTAATGATGCAATCTAACCTAAGCATAATTAATTTTAAAAAATAATGAAATATTTTGGCCTCTGTTTCCTATTAAATGCTAGCAATACATTCTCATCCTTAATTTTATAATTTTTCAATATATAAAAGAGAAAATTCAAAAGGAATATGTTAAAATTCTATTACTAGCACTCAACTTGTTTCCCACTTAGAAGCATATATAATTTTTTCATAACAAAAATATTAAGAGATTTAATTTGTTAGCTTTGTTATGTTTTTACAGAATTTGGTGCATCTCTGATTTTTTTTATCAACAATTATAAATATATTTTATCCTCTAAAATATAGTTCTCACCTTTCAAGTAGTGTTGCCATCATTTTTTTCAAATATACAAATATTACAATAATATAGCTTACAAAAATTAGATTTTTTACATCAATTATTTTTATCAAATTTTAACTAATTTTTGTATCAAAATTTCAAACTTCACAAGTTTCTAAGTCTCCCAAACTCTCACTCTTGTGGACTACTGAGTGATGGAGATGAATGGCATATATGATGTAACATCCCGTTTTTACTAAATATAAAATAATATATTTTATTTTATTATATTTAGATAATAAAAGAAAAATATTGTACACAATAAAATAAGATAAGACTTTTAGAAGAAAACGAGAGTGAATTAAACTCAAATTATAGTAATTTGTGTATTTTATATTTAATTAACACTTTTTCAAATTTTATTACTTACAAAGAGACAATGAGTTTTTGAGAACGATCGACCTTTTGATTAATAATTTATCTTTTTTATACTTTAGAGAAATATATGAAAATACATAAGAATTTTTCGTCTTTTAGATTAATAATTTTTATCTTATAAAGATATGTATCGATAAGAAAAAAAAACAAAAATAATATTTTATATATTAATTTTTATAAAAATTGTGGAAGTTAAATCTTAAAATAATTATGTTATATGTATTATTTAAAGGGTTCATGAATATTTGAAATGAATGTTGATAACATAAACTTTTTTTTTATTGAGTTTGATTTTATTAATTAGGCAATTTGTGCAATGTCATTTGTGATGTTTGTGTTAAATAAAAGTGATCATTATATAAATAGAAATTAATATATTTTCACAGTAAAAAATATATCTTTTCCAATTAAAATTTATTTTTAATCTTTTTGGTATTTAATATTATAGAAAAAATATTTAATAAACACTTTTAAAGAAATATGTTTGTTTAAACTGAAATAAAATGATAACATTTAATAAATCTTAAACCCTAAATTTTTAATAATCAAATCAATATAATACTATAAAATGACATTATCTTATTACAAACATTTAATAATAATAATAATAATAATAATAATAATAATAATAATAATAATAATAATAATAATAATAATAATAGGTCAGAATAATCCCAATTGTCATTCCTAATTAAAGAGTAAAATTATATATTTAATTAGGTTATACGTGATTTTGATTTTTAAAATAAAATTTCATGTATTTTGATGGACACGTTAATAACTTTAATGTATATAAATTAAGTGTAAAACACGTATTTAAATATAATATATAAACGCATTAATGTATTCACGCGTAAACGTATTAAAATATTATACCAGGTAAAAAGTATCGTATCACTTAAGTTAATGACGTCGCATCGTTTTTTAATTTAAAAAATAAAATAAAATTTAGTACCAGTAGAAACAGATATCAAATAAAAAAAATTAACATAATTATTGTATTATTAATTTTTGTCTTATCTCTTATAAAATAATTATTTTCTCTTTTCATTTCTTTTTTTTTCTCCCAAATATAATACTCTAAACAAAATAATATCTTAATAATAATTGTTATTATAATTTTTAGATAAAATTGTAAGAAAAAAATGCATATATTTATAATCTTTAAAAATTATGAAAAGAATCCTCTTCATTAATTATTATAGATTATGCTAATTATTATAATAAACAAATGTAAAGGACATTTAGCAAGGAATAAAAAAATGAATGTGAAAAGAAAGATTAAAGGGCATTTCAATGCTAAAGTGTGGTGTATGATGACCATTATGCCCAACTTGGAATCTTCCCACCTCCTCTATAAATCTCCCCCCACGGTCATAACTCTTTTCCCCCTAACCATCACAACCTTGCTCAGATCCAAATTTAACATACCACCATGGTGGGTGGGTTGGATTTTGAGTTCTCTCTCTTTTCACTCTCACAATATATATTGTGTTGCATTACATAACAAACTGAATATAAAATCAATTTTGCAGGAACTAGAATCTCCTCAAGTTAGCACATGGCAAGGCTATGTGGACTGGAGGAACAAACCTGCCCTCAGAGGACGCCATGGAGGCATGCTTGCAGCCTCCTTTGTTCTGGGTCAGTCTCAAAATCTTCTTTTCTTCACTCAACAAAATTTCATCTTCACACATACATATTCTCATTTGTTGGCATTTTTTCCCCTATAACCAACAATATTAGCTAATTACATCCTTTTTCATCATGAAAAGATTAAAATTACTTAATTCAGAATTTAAAAGAGATGTAGACTGGTGTTGTTAGAATGTATGAACGTTGTTCATTGGGGGCATTTAATCTAAGTCCAATTGGGGCATTTCAGCCTTAAGTTGTGTCTTATGTTAAAGACAAAAAGAAAAAGGTATATATGCAGTTCCAGATAAACCTAAAAATGCTGGTAATTCATCATATCTCAAACGTTTAGCATATGAGACAATTCATAGTGGTATGTTGATTCCGAGGTTGTTGTATTTTGTTCAGTGGCTGAGATAATGGAGAATCTGGCGTTTTTGGCGAATGCTAGCAACTTGGTTTTGTACCTGAAGCAGTATATGCACATGTCACCTTCAAAATCTGCTAACAATGTCACCAATTTCATGGGAACTGCTTTCCTTCTTGCCCTCCTTGGTGGCTTCTTATCCGATGCCTTTTTCACCACTTATCGTGTCTACCTGATAAGTGCAGTTATTGAGTTCCTGGTAAGCTCCACATTATTACACTCTTCCCTTAACTTTTGTTCAATGTGATCAGATATATTACTTTATGCTTTCTGCCAAAGTTTCTGTTTCTGTTTCTGCATATCTCTCTGTGATTTTCTCTCACCACTCACTCAACTCAAACCTACCTTGTTATGCATAAACTCATCCTTGCTTTTGCACTTATTGTTTCCCCTTTTCCATGTCATGTCGCTGAGAGAAAAAGGGGAATGAAGTTTTGGTGTTTGTCTTGTTTTAAATAAATGTTAAAATAGTAAACTTACAGATGAAAAAAAAAAAAAAAAAATATATATATATATATATATATATATATATATATATATATATATTCAGGAGAAGTTACAATATTTTTCTGGGTGACTCAAAATACACGTGTCCTGCAGAAGGATGTGACGTGTCTCCTGGAATAAGAGTGAGTTGTTGCAAAGCTTTGCAACTTGGTAGGAAAGGGTTGAATCATATGGTGCAAAACCAAATTGTGATGAAAGAATTGAAAATTGTGAATGGTGTTAAAAACACTTATCCAACCCAGGATTCTCCTTCTCTTTTCCTGCATTCCCTCTTCCACTTGGTCTATCAAAACCTTACGAATTTCATTTGTGCCCACTGAGATACACAAGTCAATAACATTTATTAATTTAGTGGCACAACATGGGAGGAGGAAAAAGGTTCATAATCATTTACATGGTTTATGTCTCTTCTCACTTTATCTCAAAAAACATTGTAAACTGTTTGTATATGATGTAGATAATTATATATTATATTAATTGATGTTGTGGTCACCATCTAACAACATCATTTAAATGGGAAGGCACATAATATGGCTGTTAGTGTCCGACGACTTTACCCTTTAGCTTAATGGAGTGGTGGAGATAAAATAATGTTGGTGGGGGAAGATTTTGTTTTTCTATATAATATGATTTTTTGGTGTTATGCATGATATATATATTACATATAGATTTATTATAAAGGTTAAAGAGTGTTTTATTTTAAAAAGTATTAAATAAATAATTTTTATATTATTTTGATTCTTTTGAAAAGTATCTTTAAAGGGCTTCTGAGCATATCTTTGATTTATTAAATATAAGAGGACCCACTTATTATTTTTCATGCAACGTATATTTAATTTGCTCAAGTGCCTAGGACCCCTTTATTTAAGTGCATCAACTTTTGTCGTTTTGACCCTAAAATCTCGCCCCCAACTATTACGTGTCATCATCATATTTACTCCCAGTACCTGTTGTACACCTCATCCTCGTCTCTTAACTATTTTAAAATTGTTTCATATACATAATTTTCTTTCTTTTTACAGATGAGAACAAAATTATTAATACATGATATAACTATAATCATATATTTTTATTTTGCTAATAGTAATATTCTAGCTTTTTTATTTTCTCTGAGATGTTTGACCACAATCTTTTTTTCTCGTAAGGAAAATTATACGTTGACACACCTCGTCCTAATGTGTTTGTTTTATCCTAGAGTGTTTTTCTTTTCTAACAAGTTCCAGAAGTTTTAAAGGCAAATATAAGGCAAGTTCGCTAATCATAGTTGTAGCAAAAAAGTTTGTGAACCACGTGTGTGGTTGTCGTTTTTATGATCCATTAGCACCATCCTTTGGCACTGCGCACACATAACTTGCTCAAGACGCCAACGTTACACAGTGACTTTTCGTAAGAAAATGATAACAGTGGATCATAACACGTCCTTGTCCGTGCATGGTCCAAAAACCGATGTGGGGAGACATAGGACACTTTTGTGCATAGTAGTAGTAGACCATTCTTTGTTGGTCAAATATTCGAGGAATTAGTCCAAAAGCATATATGGTGAAATTCTGATTTTTTATTGGTTTGCTTTCGTCGCCTGTGCAAAAACAGAGGAGAAAAGCGGGTAGGTGTCACTACTGCCATCAACAATGCCCATGTGCATTCATGTCTAGCATTTGTAGTGGGGTCCATTGGTTGATATTTTCTTGCAGCTTTTGGTTGTGTTGCACATCAACTTGGGCCCATGTGTTGGAACGGACTTTGGACTTGCTAGGGTCTGTACCCAGTTCTTGCCTTTGATAAAAAACCCTTTCTTGAATAGTGGCCCAAAATAGCCCATGTAGCCAATCCTATTTAGGGTCCCATCCTTTATTTTACACCTAAAATCAATTTCTTTCAACGTGAAATTTGTATAACATGATGTCACAACACAAGACTCCTTGTTAGGTATGAAAAAAAGGTCAATTTACTTAATCTTACTTGCATATGTTTCATTATTCGAAGTCATGATCAAAATAGTGTGAACCCTGAGATTTTGGAAGAGATGTTGCATGTGGGAACTAAATCAACTGAAAGGGCTGACACGGTTTCATTTTTTTCTGCTTTGTTATATTGCAAAAATATGCATGGCTAAAGAATGTGTACAATTTGTGCAGGGTCTGATTGTACTCACCATCCAAGCTCGTGATCCTTCATTAAAGCCACCAAAGTGTGACCGAGACACTCCGTGTGAAGAGGTTAATGGTGCCAAAGCAGCAATGTTGTTTGTTGGCCTCTATCTGGTGGCTTTGGGGGTTGGAGGAATCAAAGGGTCACTGCCGGCACATGGTGGTGAGCAATTTGATGAAACCACCCCATCTGGGAGAAAACAGAGATCAACCTTCTTCAACTACTTTGTCTTTTGCCTGTCATGCGGTGCCCTTATTGCAGTTACTTTTGTTGTGTGGATTGAAGACAACAAAGGGTGGCAATGGGGTTTTGCAATATCTACTATTAGCATATTTGTATCTATCCCAGTTTTTCTTGCTGGTTCAGCTACTTACAAGAATAAGATCCCTTCAGGAAGTCCACTTACAATCATTGTAAAGGTAATTAATGTTCCACCAACCTCTAATTAAGTTATCTGTTCAGTTTACTTTGTGAATTTAATTTCTATACATTATCAATGCAAAAATTTGTAGACTGTTAACCGATTAGAAATTATACTAAATATAACTTTTAAGGTGATCATCAAAATACTCGACAAACTTGTCATATTAACAGTTTGTGATCAGATTATAATGTAAAATTTCTTACATTGTCAGTGTGTACATAGTTAACTGTTGTTAGATTACCTCCTTCCATTATTGTCCTAAATCCCTCTTGGACGATTTTATTATGGTATGGTTTTTTGTTTTAATTTGAGCAGGTTCTTCTTGCTGCTTTACTGAATAGCTGCACCTACAAAAACTCTAGCAGTGCTGTTGTTAATATGGCTTCAAGCCCTTCTAATCCACACTCAGGTAGAATGGAATCAGAACAAGAAACTGTAAAGGCAAGCTCCACAACTGAAACCCCAACAGGGCAACTCACATTTCTCAATAAAGCAGTTACACACAAGCCGAGGTATTCATCACTAGAATGCACTGTACAACAAGTAGAAGATGTAAAGATAGTGTTGAAAGTACTACCCATATTTGCTTGTACCATCATTCTTAACTGTTGCCTAGCTCAGTTGTCAACATTCTCTGTTGAGCAAGCTGCTTCTATGAACACAAAGCTTGGTTCTCTAAAGGTGCCACCGTCTTCATTACCAATTTTCCCAGTTGTGTTCATCATGATCCTTGCACCAATTTATGACCACATTATCATCCCCTACACTAGGAAAGCCACCAAATCGGAAATGGGGATCACTCACCTCCAACGGATAGGGTTTGGATTAGTACTCTCTATAGTTGCCATGGCAGTGGCTGCTCTTGTTGAAATCAAAAGGAAAAGGGTGGCTACTCACTCAGGCCTACTTGATGACCCAACCAAACCACTACCTATAACATTCTTGTGGATTGCTTTTCAGTACTTATTCCTTGGATCTGCTGATCTTTTCACCTTGGCTGGGTTGTTGGAATATTTCTTCTCAGAAGCACCAATAAGGATGAGATCATTGGCCACATCTCTTTCATGGGCCTCTTTGGCAATGGGGTACTACCTAAGTTCAGTTGTTGTGTCTATAGTAAACAGTGTCACTGGAAATGGCACCCACAAACCATGGCTATCTGGTGCCAACTTTAACCATTATCACCTAGAGAAGTTCTATTGGCTCATGTGTGTGCTAAGTGGTTTGAACTTCCTACATTACCTATACTGGGCCACCAGATACAAATATAGAGGGTCGGGTACTACTAATTAATGAAGCAAAGGGGAATTTCTACAAGGTCTATATGAGCATTTTATAGTTCAAGAGTTCATCGATCAAATTTTGTCCAAGCCAGTTTTACGCTGGAGTTGTGTTCAACAAGGTGCACAGCATTTACCCCAATTCAGATAAGCATTGGGATATCATATATATATATATATATATATATATATATATATATATATGTATGTATGCTAGCTAATAGAATAGAAACAACACAGAAAAAGAAAAAAAAAATAGTGGTATAGCATCATGTGTAATCACTCTAACTCTTTCGTTTATCAATAGTGGGGACAAAACGGTTCTTATATATGAAATTTATTGTTCTTATTAGATAAAGTACTACTGAATTTTCTCAACTGAAATTTAAACATTCACTTAATCTCCCTTAACTATATGGTCAAGGTTATTTGAATCCTCGTCATCAGTGACAGAGCTTGTAACAGTTAAGGGTCATGACACCCCTATTTATTTATTTATTTTCATATTTTTAGCGAATTAAAATGTAATGTTCATCAATATTTAATCTCTCCTTTCTTTTTTCGTATTTTCTCAATCAGAGAGATCTATATAAAGTAGATCTTTCCTCTCTCTACACAGCCCCCACCATGGACTAACACACCCATGCTAATATAAAAACATTAATCACAAGTTCACAGAACAATTCTCAACTATCACTGTGATGCACATAACACTTCACTTAAGTCTTTTTTATTCATGGGTGATGTGACTCGTGGTCCTAACTTACTATCACTACAAATTTTACAATGAGCTTCTAACAACAAAAACCATGGTGTACTTGCTAAAATGACATCCTTCTTCAAGTGAAAAGTCACAATCTTAGCAAATCAAGTTAATTCAGTTTCCCCTCTCTACTTTTTTATCTTTTACACACGTCTTTACAGAAAATCATAAATTTCCATCCTGCAAGTGTTCAAGAAACTGTCATTATTATCTCCTAAAAAATATAAATTGCAGAAGCATGACCTTCCATGCACAGAAAATGTGTACAGTCATTGAATCATCACATGTTGTATTAATGGGGTACTGATTTCCAATTTGTTTGTGGTGCAAGTGGAGATGGCCTTCCAATTGAATTTATATGATGCTTCATAATTATGCATAAATGGTACATATGGACATATCTGAGGCATTCCCTGTTGTGTAAGGTGAGTTTCTACCGTAATAGACAAGAAACTGGTCCATGCTAGTGAATGTAGTAAGTCAGATATCATCACAGGTGCAGTCTCCACCGTCAATCTTTCCAATTAAAGTGTGTACACTGGCATGGCAACATTCACTCACCCTCAATGCAAACACTGCTGCTACCCTTCACCTTTTAATATGGTAAAGGTAATTTTAGAAAGAAAATTATTTTTTAATATCAAAGTTAACATTTGTTTTTTCTCCTTTTCATAAACCTAGCTTCAAAGCACCGCTACACTATCAGAGTGCTGGTCCTGTCAAAAAGGCACTAACAAGGGAACAACTTAGATAACATATAACTCGCTTAGGTTGGAGGGGATGCGCGTGTGAGGGGTAAATGCAAGAAAATGTGCTTGTAGTAATGAAAATAAATACATATTTAAAATAATGTTTTGGTCTAAACTGTGGTTAATTAATTAATAATTTACATAGGCTTATCTTAATATAAGAAGAATATATATGTATGTATAATATAATAGTTCTAGTAAAATTAAACGTTAATTTCTTAAATTATCTTTTAGAATAGAGTTTTGTGAATAAAAAAAATATAATTAAAAAATCAAACTAAAAATGATTATTGAACTGAGGGTTGCGAAGGAAGAATAACCTGAATGACATTATTTTAAAAAAGTTGTTAAGACATAAGAATGATTAATTATTTAAGGTCATAACTTTAAATTATCATAATATCCTACAAATAATTATACTTTCTGGCATATAATACCTTTAATGAATTATTATTATTAAAAAAATATTAAGTGTATTATCAGAATATGCATATATGTTTTATGTAAAGATTTATTATTCACATGAAAAATATAAATTATAGATCAAAGTATACTAATAATTCTCCATGAATATGAACCCATTTAGTCTGTAGTTAGTATCTTATAAAGAATAACCAAAATTTTTTCCATGTGTTCTTGTTTTCTCTGACGATCGTGTTACATACTTGCTCTTGTCTTTGTCATACAACAAACTACCATAGCCACAATAAATTCTTCTGTAAATCATACCTGTTCATGAGATAAAACGAGAGTGGGAGATGATGACCAACAACTTACATAACTACTTGTGTAAGTACCCTACACAAAGTATATAAATTCTTCAGTGTCATCCAAGCACCCAGGCACGCACCATGGCTATCAAGAACAAGAAGGCCCCACCTTTCTTTCTTCTTCTTCTTCTTAGCATGATCTTTGAGGTGGTGATGAGCATTGAAGAGGGAACAAGCACGACAGGGGGGCACTGGGTGGAGTTGCAGCGCAGCATTGGCATCTCCGCCATGCACATGCAGGTCATGTTCGACAACAAGGTCGTCATCTTCGACCGCACCGACTTTGGCCCATCCAACATCTCCCTCTCCCACCACCGCTGCCGCTTCAACCCCCGAGACCTCACCCTCAAGCTCGACTGCACCGCTCACTCGGTCCTCTACGACCTCTCCCACGACACCCTACGCCCACTCACCCTACGCACCGATGCTTGGTGCTCCTCCGGCGCCCTCACTCCCGACGGCTCTCTCCTCCAGACAGGCGGCTTCAACGACGGCTACACCACTCTCCGCTTCTTCACCCCCTGCCCCCAACACAACACCTGCGACTGGCGGGAACTCCGCAACCACACCCTCTCCAACAGCCGCTGGTACTCCTCCAACCAGATCCTTCCCTCTGGGAAAATCATAGTCGTAGGTGGGCGCAACTCCTTCACCTACGAATTCGTCCCCAAAAACCACGTCCCCTCCTCATCGCTCCACTACCTCCCCTTCTTGAAACTCACCCGTGACCCCAACCGCGGCGAGGAGAACAACCTTTACCCCTTCTTGCACCTTTTACCAGACGGAAACCTCTTCATCTTCGCCAACCGCAACTCCATTCTCTTCGACTACACCACCAACAACGTCCTCCGCAACTTCCCCATCATCCCCGGCCAAGAAAAAAGAAACTACCCCAGCACAGCCTCCTCCGTCCTCCTCCCGTTAAACCTAACGGGCCTCAACGGAACGCGTTTGCCCGACGCCGAAATTATGATATGCGGTGGCGCCTACCCCGGCGCGTTTACCTTTGCCAACAAGTTAAAGATCTTTCTAGAAGCTTCCAGAACATGCGGGAGGTTGAGGGTGACGGATTCGAACCCTGTGTGGGTCATGGAAACCATGCCCACGCCTAGGGTTATGCCTGACATGATATTGCTCCCCACTGGGAACGTCATTATCTTGAACGGTGCAATGAATGGGACCGCGGGGTGGGAGAACGCGGCGAACCCGGTTTTGTATCCAGTTCTGTATAGACCCGGCTTGGTTGACCCGTTTCCGCGGTTTCAGCTACTGGCGCCAGCGAGTACTCCGAGGATGTATCATTCATCCGCTGTGCTGCTGCCAGATGGCAGGGTTTTAGTGGGCGGGAGCAACCCGCATAGGGTTTATGATTTTCGGGCTAACCCGTACCCGACCGAGTTGAGTTTGGACGCGTATTACCCGGAGTATTTGGGGACCGAGTTTGACTCGTTGCGGCCCTCCATTGTTGCTGTTGAGGCTGCGAACAATACGGCGTCGTGCGGAAGCTTGTTTGCGGTGACTTTCTGGCTGAGGGAGTACCGTGTGGGAGGGGTGGGCGTCACGCTGGTGGCACCGTCGTTTACGACACACTCGTTCGCGATGAACCAGAGGTTGCTGGTGCTGGAGGTGGCGGCGGTTCAGGAGATAGCGCCGTTCGGATACAAGGTTGTGGCGCGTGGGCCCCCCTCACTTGCTGTGGCGCCGCCTGGGTTCTACATGCTTTTTATCGTGCACGCGGGGGTTCCGAGCGGTGGGGTTTGGGTTCAGGTGAAGTGAAAATTATGGGTTTTGACTTTGACCTATGATGTTGTTCTTACATCTTTTATTTCCCATCTCATGTTACTTAGGAATTTTCTACTGTATTTAAGTTATCCGTTACTTTTACTCAATCTTGTTTCTTCACCCATTTTATTATTATATTATTAAATATGATAATAATGGATATATTTTAAAAATCACTTTGGATTAGCATCACGATGACTTTAACTAAGAAGGTATGATTCCTAGGTATTTAGGAATAAAATTGAAAAAATATATTTATATAAATAATTTTGAGATTTATAATAAAATATTTAATTTTATTTTTAAATAATTTTTGTTAAAAAGTAAAATATTTAATTTTATTTTTAAATAATTTTTTTTAAACTCTTTTTCATGATTCTCTAAATCGATCAAACAAATATATGAAAAGATTAATTAATATTTATTTGTTTATTATTTATAAAATAATTTTATTTTTAAAATTTATATATATTTATTTCTTAAAATTATTTTTGTTTTTTTAAGTAAAAATTATAATAACAAAAAAAATTATGTTTTTATTTATGATATTTGTGTTTTTATTAATCATTACCATCAAATTATAAAAAAATATAATTAGGATTTTTTATTTTCATCAATATTTTTTTTAAACATTTTTAAATTAGTAATACTAACAAGTTTCTTTAAATTTATTTTTAAAAACTAAAAATAAAACTCTAAAAAATGTATTTATTTATTTATTTATTGCATAAAAAAGTATTATTTTACATGACTGACAAACAACTTTAATTTACTTAATTCTCATTAAATGATACTGGATTCCTTTTTTTTTTCATATTTTAAAGGCTTTTATATAAAGAACATGAAATGAAATTATTTTTTCTTAATTTTACTAAATTATAAAAAATATTTTATCATTTTTCATCTTATATTAAAATAAATAATACACAAAATAATCAAATTTTAAGTAAAAAAATAAGAATATAATTAACAAAAAAGTAATTAATGTTAGTATTAAAATTTTGAAACAATAATATATATATATATATATATATATATATATATATATTAAAAAAAACCTGAGAATTAGAAATAAACGAATCACGTAATTTTCGCGCATCAATGAACTGTACAGATCATTTAAGATAACAAGTAATTTTGATAAATTTTTTAAACAACTTATTTATAATAAAATATTTATTTTATTTTTAAATAACTCTTACTAATAGTTTCTTTCAGATGTCTTTAATAATCTTCTTGTAAAATATTCTAACTATTTAATCTTTAATGCAGTGACATGTTAACTTATTCATTAATTACAGTATTTTATTGGAAATACAAAATTAGAGACATTTTTTTATACATAAATTAGAGACATCAGGAAGAGAGAGAACAAAATTTTAATTTTTTATACATCAATAATTTCGTACTATTAAAATTCTCATACTTAATATTCGGATTGCAATTCAACTTATACTCTCTTCATAAAAACTATTCCCATGAGGTCTTAATCTATGAAGAAATTCTTTCTTTAATTAATGAAAGTACAAATTCAGATACTTTAATATTCAACTAACATTAATGCATCAAATTTGCCAAGTAAACAAATTATATATATATATATATATATATATATATATATATATATATATATATATATATATATATATATATATATATATATATATATATATATATATATATATATATATATATATATATATATATGCAAGCTAATTTTGAGAAAAGCAAAACTTTTTTGATTAGTTGTTTTTTAGTTTTTAAAAACTAGTTTTGTTTTTAATTTTTAAAAACAGTTACAGTGAACAATTTCGAAAAAATGATTCTTAAAATAAGTTAAGAAAAAACATTAATAATTCTACGTTTGAAACAAAAGAAAATAATACGAAAAATCATAACAAATATTAAAAAAATTTGAATAACTTTATAGTAATAAAAATGAATAAAAAAGATTGATACCTTTATTATTATTTTTTTAGTTTTTAAAATTAAAAAAAATATGTTTTAAACAATTTTTTTAGCTAAAAAAATCGAAGATGATTTTTAAAAACAGTATTCAAATAAACCCCACTGTCATGCTGTCTTAAAAAGATAAGGTGAAATTAAAAATAAAGTTTCTTTCAGCGCATAACCTTAAAATAGAATACATTTTATTTATAAACTTCCAAGACAGCATGTTTTCTTACAATATGGATTTTCTTTTTCTCTTCATAATTAAATTTATACCTTTCCATCATCTCAACAATCACAGGTTGAGATTGATCATTTTTCCCAATGGATTAATATTATATGAGACGATCACATGATCCTTTTGCTACGACTTCGAAGATCCTGCAGTCATTGATAAACTCCTCACTGCAACCTTGACTGCTCCAACCACACTAAACTGCCTCTTCTCTGGACTCAAACACTGGTGGCTATCGTCATTTTTATTGCTGTCTTCTACTTGAACTCCCACAAAGTATGCAACCTGAACAAACCAACCGCGTAATTACTAGAGCTTCAATTTAGCTTGTAGAGAAGTAGAATGAACTAGGTAATAAATCATCAAACTCAAGGCACATAAATGCGAAAGACTATCACATGATGCATACACACACACATATATGAAGCTGATGGCGTCTCCTCCCAAAGTGCACATAATGAATGTGGATCCGTGACTACCTTAACTCAGCAAAGACCCTTACAGAATATAATTATGATTTGCATTCATATAAAAACGAATGCATCCAATTAATTAACTTGCGATAATTGGTAACTCAAACTACAAAACTTGGATTTGTATCTTATGAGAAGTAAAGTACATTGGGCAAGAGAAGGCTATAATCCGGGTTTTTCTTTATTTTAACCACACAAAGAAATGGAGTGTGTGGAAAAATCCAGGTATCAATCAAATAGGTAAACAAAAGACCATGTGTTTGCATGTAAAATGGTCACCAGACACTACCATGAACTATCAAAGTCAACCTAAATAACTATGAAATAATTGTGAATATTTATTAAGCCATCATCTACATTTTCACTGGAACTTTAGCCATAAATGATAGATATATAAATTTATCGCATGACACATCACCGAAACTTACAAATCAGTTTACTGACTACTTTTCTTGAAATATACTTTTTTATTTCATTTTCGGGGAGATAAGTAACAACTGGTAAAAACAAAGAAATAGGACCAATTTTATCACATTACCTCCTTAACAACCTAACCCGAAACACTAGTTACCAGTAAAATGACACCAAGCACACAACATCAACTATGAACTCTCTGGTTCCCCAGCCCAACTACCAGAAAATGATTTTTCCAGAGCAACAAACCACATGTTATGCACAAGGAATGACAAGTTTCAGAGTTCATAATCATACAGGAGATAAGTTAACGCACAACAACAAAAAATTTCATAAATTTAAATATAGTTACACAAAGCAGCAAAAACAGTATCTGTCATCTATTTACCAATATGGAAAGACCACATTCATGTTCGATTCATGTTTGGTTGTGCAAAATTCTCTATGCTTTCCATTCAAACTTATAAAAACAAATTACAGACAGAAAATGAAAAACAAACGTTTAAGATTTATAGTTAAGCTAATAAATAGTTTGTCAAGATTACCTTGCCAGAAGCATCAAGAACGGGTGAGATGTGAAGAAAATTCCAAAATGAACTTTTGTCCTTCCTGTCAGAGTTGAAAAAATTAAATTCAGTATATTCAATAAATAAACTTCACATCTTTGGCAGCAGAAACAAAAGTGAAGTATTAACCTGTAATTCAAAATACGTACTGTGCATGGTTTTTCAGCTTTAATGCTTTCCTTTATCTGTAAGAAATAAGAAAAAAACATAATCCCATAGTTCATTTCCATTAGTCTAAGCCTCCAACTCGCCAAATTAGGAAGACAACATTGAAAAAAAATGGCAAGAAAATCATACTACCAGATATAAAGTAGAGGTATCAGTATCTGTTCCACCTAAAATCCTACAGTTGCGACCCAAAACTTCATTTCTTGCATAACCTACTCAGGTAACGGGATAATTGAAAACATAAGTAAATTTAAGCTATTGGTTTTATAACCTTACATCAGATGCCAGATTCAGCTGTAAATGTGCATGAGGCTTTTATTATGGTGGATAAATTTTTCAATAAGCATCCATAGGAAAAGCAAATAAAAGGCAAATGAATCAAGCTTCTTTAATCAACTTATGCACATCATTTGTTGGAAAAGTTAGATGAGATAACTTATATAAAATTGGAATTCACAAGTAGATTTAACTTGTAAGGAAAATGTAATTAATTTGTCTTATTTTTTTCCCTTGTAAGTACTTGTTGAAAAGTTTATCCAAACAAAACTCAATTTATATAAGGCAATGGTTTTGGAACCTGTCAGTTTCAAGAAGGCATCACTAACATAAACAATAGGCATGTCCGGTAAATGCGGATTAGTTCTGCAAGGAAACTCAAAACCATACAAACAACAAATTAAGGGTCTGCAAAATGTATTAAGATTGTGATAAAGTAATAACAAAACTAGACATTTCCAATAACTCACAATACAAAGCTTTGTTTGATTCTACCAAGAGAAATAATCAAGGATGTGCTTAAAAGACCCACGTCAGGAATGCTGCACCTCTTCCGACACACTAATCTGCCCGTCGCCTCACTATAATGTGTTAGCACAGAGAAGATATTGTCCATGGCAGTAGCAGCACTTCGCTTCTCCTCATCACTCGCCTCACTCGGCTCTTCCCTATCCAATTCTGCATCTCAAAAAACTAACAAATCAGTATAACCCATCAAATGGGGCTATTACATTAATTCTGCATCAACTATAAAATGCAGTTAACTTTTTTCTATGAGAAGATTTAAAATTAGAACAAAACTTAAATCCAATTATTCTATGCCTTATTTAATAAACTTATGATGAATTTTTAGGTAAACATTTTTATATCCGTTGCTGAGATGAAAATTTTCCCTAAAAACACCACATCAACTTTGCTGCTTGAATACTTTTGTAATAGATTAAGCTTCAATTCTAATTTAAAAGAAAAAAAAACACATATCTATGTTTGTCCTGAAATAATTTTTAATTGTACCACTAATAATTATTAGGATTGGTGAAGCAATGCTTAAACACTAAGCACTCTGACATGTATGCTCTCAACTGAAAAAAAAAAATCGCAAAATGCGAAAACAAACAAACAAACCAATGACATCACGTTCCAGCACTTGCTCCAAGGAACACACGCGACCAAGTTCCGATAACGAATCAGAGCACACTTCCTTCCGACAGCACCCGAAGCCAAAATCCCGGACGCCGGAGCGCTCCTTTTTGTGAAGCGGTACCTGAACGGCTACGAAGTGGACGACCGCGCCGCCGTCGCCGAACACAGGACAAACACCGAAGAGCATCCAAAACGGCGTGCCGTCCCTGCGGTAGTTAAGCAAAACAACCTGCGTGTTTCGCTCCTCACGAACGGCCTCGCGGATTTCCATGACAGACCTCCGGGAAGTGCAAGGGCCCTGAAAGACGGCGGCCGTCTGGCCCAGAACCTCGCTGCGTGCGTAGCCCGTGAGCTTGAGGAAGCCCGGGCTTGCAAAGACTATAGGGTGACCCGGGATGTGGGGGTCGGTGATGGTGAAGCTGTCAGGCAATTCGTCGAGCGAGTTGCGCGCGTGGCGTGTGTAACGGTCGTCGAAGGATCGCTGGATTGCGGCACGCAGGTCCATCTGTATCGGCGGTGGTTCTAGAACCTTCTATGATTCCTCTTCTTCTCACAGTTTTTCCCAATCCCATGTGAACTATCGCTGCTTCTTCTTCCCCAAGTGCTATCAGCGTGCCGAATCTGAAGACATGAAAGCGACAGCTTTTTCAGATGGGCGAAGGGGAAAGGAAATATTAGCTTAGCACCGAGGAAAGGAAAATAACAATATCTGGGAAGAGTTGTGGTGTAATTGAAGGGTAGCCATTAACTGGTGTTTGTGTGAGGGAAAATTATTGGATGGAAAATGAAAGGGGAATCATGGACAAGACAAACTCAGAGTGCCACTACTACCACAAGACGAAGCAACTGAGGGAGGGAGTAACCACAACCAGAGTCACACAAAATTCCATTTTTTTTAAATTAATAATTAATTAAATTCTTGTTTTACTTTTTTTTTTTTTTTTACTTTATCCTTTTCCCCGGTCTTATCTTGACAAATATATAAGCATCAAATTAAAAAAAAATATTAATTCTAAAAAATGATTTTAGTTTCTTTAATCATGGTACAACACTCTGAAACGGAAATAAAGACTAACCGCCATATGAGTTGATGAAGTGCAAGATATTTTGAGCTATGGCATAATTTCAATTTTCAGGGATAAAGCAAGTACACCACAAAGAGGGGGTAAAGATGCAATGATAAGTTTCCATTTGGGATGTTGAATATCAAGTTATTTTCTCAACCGTCATTATCCATAAAAAGCTATTTTTCGTTTTTAATTTTTCATAGATATTATTTTAAATTTTACAATTAAAAAGGAAAAATAGAAAAAAAAGAAAGAAAAGAACTTGATATAAAATCCATTTATTTTGGGTGAAATGGTTGAAGTAAGTTTCATTTTCGATGTTCTCTTTCAAAATCCACTTGGCTGGGGTCTTACATACATTCTTATCCAATCCTAGTCATTTCTTACTAGACAGGTTTTATAACATGTGATGACGTGGATTAAGATGGAATGTTATTTAGTGAATTGTCTTAATAATTAAATTCACTCTTCTTTTGTTTTTGTATTTGTGGATGAGAGGAGACAGTTGGATAGTGTTACTTGATAAAAGAAATTATAAATATTTTAAAAAATAACATAAAAATAAAGTTAGTATCATCAAAAATATTTTTAAAGGTTAGAATTAACTATATATTATATCTAGTTTTTATTAAAATATTTTCATTGGAATTTTTAAAATTTAAAATTGATAAGTTCGGCTGTGTTTAAAGCTAAGGTCCGGAAGGATTAATTTTAGAAATCACTTTTTCATTTCTCAAGATATTAGTAATATATAATTTTTAAATTTCTTCAATCCTTTAAATATAGTGCATTTATTATATTTAAAAATATATTTTTTTATTTTTAAAAATGTATTTAATAGCTATTTTGTTTTACATAAATTTTTAAAATATTTAAGAAATTAAAACTAATAATTTTTTTATTTTTTTATTAATATATATGCAAAATTTTATTAATAATTACATTAAACTGTTTATTTTTATTATCATAAAATTATGAAAATATACTTTTTATCTTTCATCATAATTTTGTATGGTCATTTATGTTTTTCTTTTAAAAATATTTATTTTCATCAAAGTATGTTTTTCATCAAAATATCCTTATTAAATAATTTTTTTAATTTATTTTTTAAATTTGATCTATAAAATTTAAAACTAAATGAAGCAAAAAGATTATCAATTTAAATGATAATTTTAAGAATAAAAAACAAATACTTTATGAAACAGATTAATATAAGTAAAGAAAAATCATGCTCATTGATAATATAAATAAATAAAAAAGATAAAGAGTATCTCGTAATAAGATTTTTATTAAATTAAGTTAATATATATATAGTCCATTGCAACCAACTTTTTTATTAAATTAAGATTTGTATTTTTTTTAACTAGAGTTATATGGATTTTTTTGTTCATTTGAGCAAAATTAAGTATATGTTATTTAAAATGTATAATAGAGATTACAGATTATATTTTTAATGTATATATGAAGTAATTTATGATGCTTTGAATGACGATTTCCATTTTCTAAAATTTGAAATTAAATATTACAATAGCTTCATTGAGTAATATTTTCAGATTATTCCTTTTTTTAATTATCCACTTTTCTTTTATTTATTTCTCATTATATAATTTCTTTTAATTTATAATAGTTATATTTTTACTTCATTCTTTTTCAACTATCTCGTTCTATTTTTATTTTTCTTCGAGCTTTCGTGAAAGACTTTAAAAATTTACGTGATTCCTAAATTATATATTATTTGATATCAAATTATTGTCTGAATAATATGAACATGTCGTTTTAATTGTTTGTAGGTTTTGTTGTTTTTTTTTTATATTATATCGAATTAATTTTTAAAATTATATATTTAAAACAAAAAATTACCTACACATAATTTATATGAGTTTATTTACTCAACTAAATGGGTTTACAGTTTATACACAAAATTTAATAATGAAAAATAAATTCTTTTAATATAATAAACGTATTTTGCTTTTTTTCTCATTTATTTTTCTATTTTTCCCTCTTGTTTACTTTTTATTATTATTTTTTCTCTATCCTAATATTTCTTTTTTTTTCTATGACTCATCTTATTTTTCTAATTAAAAATATTAAATTAAAATTTTATAGAATGAATTTTTTATTATTTTAAAAAAATATAAATATTTAAATTATCCAAAAATATTATGTCATAGATTTAAAATATTACAAATTGTTAGGTTATAATTATTAAAAAAATTAAATATTTATTTTAAATTAACTTTTTAATAAATATTTTTGTTCATCATTCAATCTATTATATAATTAGATTAAATTATTAAATAAAAAATACATTTAACTTATAAATATTTGATATTTTTCATTATATAAATATTTGATTTATTAAGATAAAATAATTTAGAATTAAATATTTATATTATTGTAAAAAAATTATTATTATTATAATAAATAAAATTATTTATTGTCATCATAATTTTAAATAACTAATTGATATTTTTTAAATTCCAATATTGATTTTTAAAAAATTATATAAAGACATGATTTTTTTCTTAATAATTTAATATAATAATTTGTAATACTTCAATTTTATAATATAATATTTTTAGATAATGTAAATATTTTTAATTTTTTAAATAAAAAAACTTATTTTATCAAATTTTAATTTAATATTTTTAAGTAGAAGAATAAGATAAGTGAAAAAAATAAAAGAAGAAGAGAAGAAAAAGAAAACATGTAAGAGGATAGAGAGAAAAAATGAAGAGAGAAAGAGTAGAAAAATAAAGTAAAATACCTGTATTATATCAGATGAAATTTATTTTTTATTATTAAATTTTGTATATGAACAATAAATTATAATTGGATAAATAAATTTATAGATATTTTATTTAGGTAATTTTTTATTTTAAATATATTATTTAAGCAATTAATTCATTTTCAAACACGGCTCTAATAATTTAATTTTAATTTATGAAAATTTCAAAATAAATACTTTTTATATGTATATTTAGAGAATTTAATTCAAATACATTATTATTTATTTATAAAAAATTATTCACATTTTAATATAAGATTATTTTATAGAAACTAACAATTTTTTTTAAGGTTGGTTTTTCAAATTACTAACCTTCATTTTGTAACTTTCATATTTTGTTCTTTTCTTTTGGAATTTAGAATGCACTAATTTTAGTGATATCCGTAGAAGAAAGAGTCTAGAACCACAAAATATAGCAACAACACACTTCAAGGAACTTATTTTTTAGCCCTAAAACAAGTCAAAATCTCAATTTCTAACTTGATGTAATATCTCATTTGTTAAAGTTGTTAGAAACTAATTGTACTCTTCCTTTCTCTTAAAATTAGGGGTGTTTTTTGGTTTAGGTTTCACTAAATTTAAAATCCACCTTAATTTATATTATATGGATTAGGTGAATTCAAGTATCATTTGAGATTTAAGAAACAAAGAAATAAGAGTTATTTAAAATTTATATGAATAATGTATTATTGTCTCTAAATTCAACTTTTAAGTAATTTTAATTATTTTCACATTAATAAGAATAGTAATTAGTTATTTTAAAAAATAGTAATGAAGTTTATTTAATATTTTGTTTTTATATAATAAAAAATATTTTTCCAAATTATTTTCAATTATGTTTATTTAGAAGAATGATTCTGTAGATTAGAATATTTTTAAAATAATAATATTAAATAAAGTTTAGAAAATTGAAATTTATCTACCAAATATGAACCAATTTTTGAAAAGAAAAGACTGATCATAAAATTAAGTAAAGGATACAATCATTTATACTTTATCATATAATATTTTCAATTCATCACTTTGGAAAGAGGGAGAAAATTGTATCATTTACAAAATAAATAAATAATTAAATAATTACAGAATTATAGAATTGAAGATGAAGCCACCTGAAAAAGTTGATGCCACCTGAAAATAGTTAAGAGAATAATTTGCGAGAATTTGCCGTGCATGCACTCGAGCATTCTCACTGATCACGACTCGAGCTTCGGATCTTCGCCACTTCCCTCTCCCAATCTCTTCGCACCAACGCTCCATCCTTCATTAACCATCGAGTTCTAATCAATTCTCTATTTCATATTCACTTTCCCGTTTGTTCTGATTCCGCTTTCAAATTTTCATTATCGTTTCTCTCTCTCTAATATCCTTTTCGCGCTATACGATTCCGTAATGTCATGGTAGATTTCATCTCTATTCGCTGAATTTTAATCGTTTGAATTTGCAGACGACAGTGTTTTTAATTTTTCTGTGGCGTAATGAATTTTTTGATGCGGTCTACAACTGGCATGTATGGAGAGCGTAATCCATCTATTCCTGCTCCGGAGCCTCGTGCTGAATCGCATCATAGGTCTGCATCTGTTGGATCTCCTTTGGAGATTCTTATGTCTAGTGATCCATATGCACACAATGATGCCTTGTTTGAATATGGCG